TTACTACTAGTAAGGCACTTGTTACTAGTAGCGTGGCACTTGTTTCTTCTTCAGTTTTTCCTTGAAATTCTTGCTCAATTTTGTCAGTCGTGATACCAGGCACGACGCTTCAGTTCCGAGTTTGAGCAACAGCAGTGGAGTGCGTTTCTCAGTTGCCATACCTGTGAGTTCGATCAAGTAGTGTAGCGGGGAAATAGGTGCCGCTGACAACGGCAGCTGTGTTGGCAAAGCTGGGACTAATCTCTTGGGGTTTCGGAAGCCTTCGCTTTGCGTCGCTGTGAACATCTCAAAATCTCTCACTTTCTTCGATCGGTGCATGTGGGCTGTTCCTAGAGTTTGTAGCACACAGCAGACTCGTTCTCCCAAGCTCTTGAAGTTTGGTTCCAGCTGGGGAAAGACTGGGTGTAAATCAAACCCGGAGTCATTGATTGTACCTTTGATATGCTTCATTGCAGACAGGCTCTACTATTTTGGAAACAGTCACATTTAGCCCAACAGTTTTTGCCTGTTTGCATCTTGCATTTCCATTCAGGTGCACCCAGTTCTGGCATGTGTTCAATTTGTTGTTTTGCCTCTAAGTCGTAATTTCTGAATGAACAGAGTTGGTCAAGCATTTGAGCGAAGCGAGTACTTCTGGCCGTCTTCTGAAAGGTGACATCTTTCGTGTGCCTTATATTTCAAACCCTGGTGTGCCAAAGACTGATGAGACGTCGGGGCGCTTGATGGGAGTTCTCGGGCGCAAGTGACTTCAAGAGTTTGCAACGCTGAGTGAATCAGTCAGAACGATGCTACTTCAGTTGGTAACCTTTTGGTCGTTCAGCTGTGGAGTATTGAATAGACTCACCAACCTCAAAGCAGGGGCTTTCGAAGGGCGAGTGAAGATCTCAGCAACGCCAGGTCCAGTAAGGTTTCGGGCAGCCGAGCACGCTCTGCCGGGATCAAAGCTTCATTTTTTGCCTGAGTTTGGTGCACCTGTGAGTTCATAATTAGCCTTTAATGGTCTCATTGTCATGCACTCTGCAGCTGTTCAAGGAATTCTCTGTTTTGTCTTGCCCTGCCGCCATGAAATTTGCCCGATGCATCGGGCGTGCGCCTCAATCTGCACAAGTTGCGGCATTGGCCAGAGGCCGAAGGCCTTTTTCAACTAAGGCCCGTGGTTTGTTTCAGATGTTCAACCCATTTTGGGCTAGCCAGAGATTGTGCACTGTCATTTTAGTTATGCGCAAGCAACTTTGTGATTGAGATGGTGTCGACATAATGTGACGACCGTCTGACGTTTTTGTGCCAGCTGCATGCGGCCAATGCCCCAAGCCATGTGGCTGGAAGCGAGCTTCCCTTCGCGGAGCTAAAGCAAAAGCCGATGACTCACACTACTCACTTGGGCAGGCTTGGCCGGGCTTGGGAGTTCTCCAATAGTCTCGTCAACCCTTTCTTTGGAGAACTCGTGAAAAGAAGCAACCAGCCAGTTGAACAGGTGCTGTCTCAGTTGCCTCTTTCAAGCCAATTTTAAGACTCGCTTTTTGATCTTTTGGAGTTCTTTGCTCGACATGTTCCAGGCACCGTGCCATCAACTTGGCAGCGGGGGCTGCTGCCCTTCCATTGGAGGCTTGGCATACACACACAGAGCAGGGAAGGAGTCACGATTGGTCAGGCCTCAAGTCTGAGAAGCCATGCACATGATGACGGATTTCTTCAATCTCTTTCGTTCTATTTGCAGACTCTTCATTTGACCAGCAGGTTTTAGAGCGTGCTGCCAGCAGCTTTGTAGAAACTGATCACAGTGGCATGAGCAGCTTGGTGTTTATGGAGTTCAGTTGGTGACCAGGTTCTGCAATTAACGAAAGCTTGACAGCCTCTCAGATGCCGCAGATGGCTTTGTTCGATGGATTTGAATGCTCAAGGTGTGGCAGAGATGGGCTACCGTACGAAGCCCTTCCACCGCATCATGGAACGAGCAGAAACATCTTTGCGGAACTTCTTGAGCATCCCTGATAGTCATGAGGAAGGGCCGGAAAAGTTTGTCCACAGTGATGAGCTCTAATCATTAATCCTTTGAACCTTCGTTGCCCTTTCCAATGCTCCATTACGCCTTCCATCCATTCTTACCTTCTTGTGCAGGTGCACTTTTTCAATGGCGGTGCAACCCTGCAGTTTGCCGCCATCCCGTTGAACCTTCTAGGCGGCCGGAGGGAGCATATGGAAACTGTCACTGGAAGAGTCGCCGGCCAAAACCAGTTTGTTTCAAAAAGGTCGTTTGTCAAACAGTCACAGGCGGCCAAAATGAAGGAAAGAAAGCGTTCAGGCCTCAGAGCAAATACACTGGCTAGAGGCAGAGATCTGATAAGCTATCTCGTGCTGGAGCTTTCAACGAGAATCCTCACTCAAGGAACTACTTGATGAGTGGCCACTGGAGCGAAAAGGCACGAAACGAGGCGTCGCTCTTTGGTGAGGTGCACGAAGTTGCTGTCGATCCCCAAGGCCAGCCGATGACATCGCTTTGAGGAATCTAAGTTTGCATTCTTTTATATACTGTATAACAAAAAAAATATATACTAGGTGCAGATGACATTATGAGTTGTGCAACGATCTCCAAGTCACCACCTTTCCTATGTCATCTGTCCACGGTCTCCAAAAAGAGAGGACAGACATGTAAAAAAGCAAAACGCATCTCATTTGTTCAAATCCTCAGAATCTCGGATTCCAAGGTGGCCCAAGCCCTACAGAGTCCATGACAAGAACCAAATCGCTCATGTGGTTGTGAATAGGTCAGAGTCCCATCTCATGTATCCGCAACCTATAATGCCGGGATTGACAAACAGGTAGTGGTTGATACCACCCATAATGTACCATTCAAAAAAAAAAGAAAGTGCATCTCATGTGTTCCCGGCATTTGTCACCTTCTCAAGGTATGTATCTCATGTGCATACGGTGCGTTCCAAAACTGACCATAAAGTCCTGTGTGATCTGCCCCTAGTATAATGTATATATATACATATATTATGGTTTTAAGGGGGGTAGAGGTGAGGTAGGTAGGTAGGTAGGTAGAGGTCGGTAAGCTAGCTAGTAGCTAGAGGTAACTTATATCTACAAGGAAGCTACTACATATGGACGCAGGATAGCTCACGCTTCTTGAAGCTTCCCTGAAGAAGCGCTCGCACTACTCATTTGGTTCCTAGATTTTTAGGGAAACTTAACACTAGAAGGACGACATGCACACGGTGAGGGAAGATCACATGCTGCTTGAAATGAATGCTGGAGGAAGGTGCACAAACACACGGAGCATGCACTCCCTGCAAGGTTTATACTTCGAAATCCCGAGCAGTATCTTGGCTGCAAGGAATAGCATCATCCGTGGACAACAAAAAAACACTTAAAACAAATCTGAAATACATATCACCCAAGCATCAAGTTCTTGAGCATAATGATTTGCTCAGGCAAAACCTGGGAGATCGACCAAAATGCTGCGTATTTCCACTACACTTCTGCTGACACCCGACAGGGCTTGGAGATCAGAGATTTTGATTTTGATGCCATTCCCTCAGGCTCGGACTTGATTCATTGGGTTGAATTGTGCAACCGTGACTGCAGAAGACGTCATTGCCTTTGGACTTCTTCATGGAAGTCACTGCGAGCTGTTTGGTGTTTCTCAAGAAAAGAATGCATCCACTGCATCCACGTGGATGCTGCACACTATATAGAATTTCATTTGGAGCTGATTTCTTCTTCGCAGAGGATTGTTTTGGTCGAGGGGCATATTCTCTCACGTGCAGGTATGCCAGTTTGCTGCGACGCATCCGTGTCTTGGCCACAACCCCCAATTGTGTGCCTAGCTTGAAACGAACACAGTGAGCAGCACATTAGACCGAAGTTGGATTAGCCACGGCTGAAGGCAAATCTCGGCAGCGCGCCGATAGACGTGTCCAAGCTGGGAGCCTCAGGGAAGTTTCGGTGAAGACGAGATACTATATAGTAGCTTCTTGTTCCTAGTAGTAAGAATGCTCCTAGTAGCGATGCCAGGAGCCCCTAGTAGCTTCTTGTTACTAGTTAAGTTTTCCTAAACATCTAGGAACTAAATGAATAGTGCGAGCGCTTCTTCAAGGAAGCTCCCCCCCCGCCGCCTTTAGGGAGGCGGGGAGCTTCCTCGAAGAAGGGTGAGCTATCCTGCGTCCTAAGTAGCGACTTGTAAGCTCCTGGCGACTCCCTAACCTCTACTAGCTACCTCTAGCTACTACCTCTACTCGGCCCCCGCGCTTAGAAAAGAAACCTTTTGTGGACGGTAGCACAAAGCTTGGAGACAGAGAGACAAAACTAGGAGAGACAACCTGATGTTTGGACGAGGTTCAATGAGTAGAAGGAGTGAACGAAGGCCTCTCAAGTGAGGCGTTTTCGGCAGGTATGGAGTCTTGTATGCTGCCTCGCACAAGAACTTCTCTACTGCGGGGGTTTGTTACTCCATCATTCGAAAAGATCCTTGTCGGCATTCGGACCAAGCCACCTTTGCTTTGATGTGCCGTTGCATTTCTCTTGATCAACGACACGTTGATAGGTCTACGCGTGGCGTTTTTGAATGCTTTGGATTGTCCAAGGATCTGATCTCTAAAGAGACTCAGATGAAAGCCATACCGACCATGTGCAACTGGAACACTTTTCAGAGTGCTCCCAACAAGATCTACAATGTGCCCGTGCTGATGTCCGTGTGGAATCTTGACAAGCTCTTATGACTGGGATCGATTACTGTAGCAAATGGTACTATATGCCTATATACTGTATCTGATGTACTTTCGCTGGGGAAATGGCTTGTCCCACTCTACTTGTGTTAGGACTTAGGACCAATCTATTATTGCCGATTGAAGTGCTTTCATCCGACCTGAATCCGGAAGTGTGGAGGAACATAGGACATTTTCTTTACCAAGATTCACATTCCCATATGATGATGACTTAATGCTGCCTCAGGATTGGTGCACTGAACACAGAGTGGATGATTGAGCGAGGTGGTGTAGAAGCATTCCAAGAGCTTGCCATCACTCGATCTGGCCTGCTTTATGCTGCTTGGCAAGCAGCGGTCTAGTGCTCGCGGGACTTCCTGACAAAAGCAAGGACGAATGAGGCGTTAAATGTACCCACGACCCCCGTTGCTTTTTTGGTATTGAAAGTGATTTGCCGCTATGCCGTAACAACCTTGACCCGAGGATTTGATCGACAATTCCGGCGGCTTCTACAATACCTTTGTCAACAATGAGGCTTGTGCTTTTCTGAAAGATCCGGAAAGGTCAATACATAAAACACGATCAGAAGACTATATGCGATTTTCAACAAACCAAGCTGAGACAGAAAAAGTGTCAAAACTGCTTCAGCTTCAGCATTTAGGCCTTCCGGTCGCGGATGCAAGTGGTCTTCACCATTGGAAGTGGAAAGGGCAGGGACCATGATCTAGTCGAGCCGCTTGGTCGGACAGTCGGAGTCAAGTGAGCATTTTCAGGGTAGCGGCAGCTCACGAGATCTCATGAGTACAAGAATATAGAAGTGATTGAGTGCATAGAATGCCTGGTTTCTGCCATGTGAAATGCTCAGGAAGTTCCTGCAGCGGGCCAACGATGAGCTTGGCTGGCTTGACATTCGCTCACATCCATTGGGCATGCCGTCTGATGCTATCAGGGCCTCATGATTGAACATTAGCAGTCATAGGAAGCACTTGACATTCTTTGTAAGACGACACTGCCTTCCAGTGGTTGGAGGCCATCGCTGTTAGGTTGGAGGCCATCGCTATAGGATCTATTAGGTTGGAGGCCATCGCTATAGGATCTATTAGGTTGGAGGCCATCGCTATTAGGTTTGAGGCCATTGCTAGTAGGATCTATTAAGTTGGAGGCCATCGCTAGTAGGTTGGAGGCCATCGCTATAGGATCTATTAGGTCGGAGGCCATCGCTATTAGGTTTGAGGCCATTGCTAGTAGGTTGGATTGCAACTGTTGTTGAAACAAAGCCATGAGCCGGGCACTAGCAGCTAGATTCTCAGGCTGGGAATCGATAGCAAGTCTAAATTGAAGTCATGACTAATCCGACGATTTTGATACCCGCTTTTGTCCGGACATGCGCTTCTTGCCTTCATTGTGAACCTAGACGTTCTTTCAAAGCAATTTCATCCAAGTACACATCTTTGAAGACCGGGTCGACCCTTCTCCGAGGTGACCATGTACAATCACCAGACTCTGGAAACCATCAAGGCATCAGAGAATAGCTTTGTTTTCAAGAAGCGAAGGACCCTTCAAAAAGGCTCCCTTAAAAACCTTCAACGCGTGGCTTATTCAAATGGCTCTTCCTTTTTGTTCCTTTTCTCTTAAGTTACTTCTGCGCAAGGTCAGTGAAACTGTGTCATTGACACTTGGGACTTGGGCATTAAAAGCAGGAAACTATTGAGACAGGCTTCGCTCGTTACGTGCTGATGATTCATGCGTGATCGGTAGGCATTAAGAGCACCTTTGCAAAACACACGCTTGCCAAACATTGCAAGTTTCTGGATGCATTGGCTGAATGTGTCAGACTTGGAATACTTTCTACTTTTTTTGCGGGGGCTGATAGTTCATTCATGTTTGGCATGTCCCACAGCCAGTTTCCCAAAAAATCTAGGAATCACACGAATAGTGCGAGCACTTCTTCAAGGAAGCTCCCGCCGCCCTCAGGCGAGGGGAGCGTCCTTGAAGAAGGGTGAGCTTTCCTGCGTCCAGTAGTTAGTAGCGCCCTACTTAACATAGCTTAGTGGCCACCACGGCCTACCCGACCCCGGGCCTTAAAACATGGTTTCCTTTTTCGTACAAATATGATTCGCAGGTCGTCCGGGACTTCATGCATGAGTTCCAGTTGCTTGGCCACATTGCAAGTGCTTCTTGGGTGTTTCTTTGGAATACAGGTAGCTCAGGCATTCCGATGGGACTGTAGCGTCAGAGCGCATGCTCGAAGTGTTGCAAGTCATTCATCACTGTGTGATGGCTGTTGGGATGATCATGCCGCATGCCTCAGCAACTGGCTGGTGACACTGTTTCTTTTCATGGGTAAAGGAGTTGAATGCCTGATGCTGTTTTGGACCTACCAAAGGAAGCAGCATGTGGACGACTCAGTTTACTCTTTTGAGATTCCGAAGGACACGGGTCTCGCAAATTCAAAACTGCCGAATGCGGAAGCTGAGCGATGTAGTTACAGCGACATGATGACATCCGGAGATGTCCTTCCCGTGTTGTATTTTGCAAGGGATGTACTACAGATCCCATGTGGACATGGCATCATGTACTGTGACAGTACTGTTTGTACCGATGTGAAACATGTTACTGTAATACTTTGCTGCCTTGTCAGAAAAGTATTCTTTTGTTCTTTGAGGCGGGAGATGAGTGCTGGAAAGTTTTCAAATTCTTCAACACATCACCAAGGCTTCTTTGTTCAAACAGTTTGATTTGTTTGTGGTTGCATGCGGATTGACCGCTTGATCGAACATGTGTTGTGTTTCAAACACGTCTCCTAGACATGATATCAAAATGCAGTGAAGAACTCAAAGCTGTTTTGCCGACGTGGTAGGACAGCAGAGCGTCAGCCATGGCGTGATAGGAGACCTTGCAGCGGGGATTGTGGCATGCAACGTGTTGTGGAAAAGTTTAGAGACTAGAGATATATTAGGCCATCGCTTTTAGGTTGGAGGTCATTGCTCTTAGGTTGGAGGCCATCGCTCTTAGGTTGGAGGCCATCGCTAGTAGGTTGACCTGAGTGCGGATACATATATATATATAATATATAATATATATATATATATTAGATGTTGGAATCAAGTGCAGCGATTCTGGATGTGTGGAAACACCTGGCTCAGCTAAGAGCTTGCTTGCTGTTTGCTTTTGGCTGAGTTCACGCGAAAGGAGGATTCCACGAGTGCAATCTCGCCCAAGAAGCGATAGAGAAGCACATGAGTTTTGCATATTAACCTCACTTTCAGAACTTCTGCTGCGCAAGCAGCAAGGTGGGTCAATTGCCATTTTGACTCAAATCTCCTCTCCTCAGTGGGGTGGTCTTGGCAAATTCACGAGAAAGGGCGCACGCTCCATGCATGGTTGACGAATCGTTGACCGACATGGACTTCGTTGACGTCTCTTTGTCACACTGTCCCGACTTGTCCATAAAACTGGGGATTGCCGCATTGCCCGACCTGTCCGATCAGTCGGTGCATCACCTAGCAGGATTGCTGTAGGGTGATGTAGAGGGCCTTTTGAAACTAGCTTGTGCACATGCATCACGGCTAGCTGCTCAGCGAGTGAAACCACCGCTTTCTTGTCTCGCAGATTGCACTCAGGATAGCCCTTTCGATGAAGCAACATTGCACTTTCTCTTTCCGGGATTCCATCAAATCACATTTTTGATCGCTGGGTAAGGCTGAGGCATTTTCAATGGTTCTATGCACCAGGGTTTGTTGACAAATCATTAGTGCGAGGGCTTCTTCAAGGAAGCTCCTCCCCGCCCTCAGGCGAGGGGAGCTTCCTTGAAGAAGTGTTTGCTATCCTGCGTCCAGTTACCAGAAGCTAACTAGTTGCTTAATTAAGTAGGCGCCTACTTAGTTAAGTAGGAGCGGGCTTCAAACAAAACATAAAACACCGCCTAAGTTTCTGTGAAGGATTAGAGTCCAGAGCCACAGGTTTTTCCAAAGGAAGTCACTGCTCTCCTTGTTCTTCCATTCAAGTGCTACTGTCTTGAGTGCAATTTGTGAAAGCATTAGCTGCAGCTGTGAGAATCTCCAGACAAAAGAGGAGTATGGGCATGCTTTTCTTGAAAGGCGTCAGGATTTCCATCGATTTCAAGGATTGCCATCTAGGTACGAGCACTTGTGTGTGTGTGAATCACTTGCATTGGATGGAGGTTCTTTGGAGGTCACACAGTGATCTCAAACTGGGTTGACAAATGGATTTGACAAGATTCAAGATGCAGTCTGAGTATCTTCAAGTAACTCCGTCCTGTGCCTCTCAGGCTTCGCCAGGCCGCCGACCCCAGGCAGCGAAGGCCTCCAGCTGGATCCGAGAGGCAAGAGATGTCTGTGCCGTTGAAACGTCATGAAACGTCTGTTCCTGTTACTAGTAGCTTCTTGTTACTAGTAGTAAGGCACTTGTTACTACTAGCTGTTGAGACTGGTTGTTGAGACGGTTCTGTTTCCATGAGTCTTAACTTTGTGTGTCACGTTGCTTCCACGCTTCCCATGTGGCAGCTTGTTGCGATGAAGGTGCTCTTGCGTATCATTTCTTTAAAGAGATTGGAGTCTCAAGTTTCCCTAAGAATCTAGGAACCAAATGAATAGAAGCGTTCTACTAGCTACCTAGCTACCTCTTCTCGGCAGACCACCCCCCCCTTTTTAAAGAAAGGATCAAGAAACCAGAATGCTCGAAGAACTCAAAGGCCCTTATATAGATATCATTATATAGATCAACTCACGATCACTGCTCAGGAGTTTGACACAGATCGTGCTGGTACAGTGACGGGAACCGTGCAGCCTGTCCAGTCCTCAAAGAAAGACCCAGACCTTTTGAAATTAACTTAATTTTAAATGAATAGCAAACATTGTTACTACTAGTAAGGCACCTGTTACTACTAGCGTGGCACTTGTTACTACTAGAAGGAATGAGATTTGCAAAGCAATTTTGCCTAGAAGCCGCTACACTGCTACACCATTCGGTTGCAACATGGGACAGTGGGTTCTAGTACCAGTGTCAGGAGTGAAGCACTTTGGTGACCAAGAAGCACTAAGGGTGCTCTATTGCCGGCGGATGCAGCACCTGAGCACTTCCGATTGTATGCTGCAGTGCAAAAGGAATGGTTCCAGTGTGGAAGCCTAGGTGAGAGTGGACTGGTCAGCCATCAGTTGTTGGAGAAAGGATTGTCCAGTGAAGTTTTGATGGTCAGTGGGAAGTGTCCCCAGGTACGACATCTATGCACGCGTTTGCATGCTCCTGGGCTTTTCTTCCTTCGTTCAGTCCTTGTCCTTCTATGGTTGGCCTGGCCAGATTCTGACAGCATACTGGGCTTCGCAAAGCTTTGCAAAATGTCTCAGGGAGAAAGACAATGCCTGAAACCAGTTTTGCAAACTTTGTTTGGATTCCTCCAATTTGGTTGGATGGCATGGAAAAAACTATAATTTAGGCCCTGCACAGGTGGACTGAACACCAATCACTGACAATTGGCCCAAGGACGTGGGGAACATGTGCACTCAACTCAACTTAAAGATCCGTGTTAAGAGATGCACATGCAGGCTGCATGCAGCAGGACTGAGAGATAGACGCTACTAGTAACAAAGGGCATCGCTACTAGGAGCAAGGACGCTAGTAGTAGCTCCTGGCAGTACTACTAGGAACCTTTGCTGCGTACCCGTCGTTCCCATGGGCCCTCGCGGTTGGCCACGGCGACATCGAGTACATCACATAGCAAGCAAAGCTCCCCACCAAGCGAAGGGCGGCCTCTTTGAAGCTTTGCCACGGCGCGAGGTCAATGTGGAGCAGTTGCCCGGTTTGGGTCAGTCGATGCTGGATCGTGGCCGTGAAACTCAAGAAAGACATCCCAAGAGAAAGCAGGTGGATGTGCACTTGCATCTTCCAGTCAAAGGTGCTTTGGGATGCCCAGAGAACATTCAGGATGAACTGAGGAGCATCTCCATGAGTCGAGCGCCTCGCATCGCACCTGCAAGATTCTTAGACGAGCCGCGACTTTGCAATTCACAAGGGACTTTTCTTTGGACCCGGGAATTGAATGCTTCGAAGCCCCTAGAACCTCAGCCAGAGAGCGAGACATTTTCCCATGTTGACGAAGCATTCGATGAGAAAGAGCCAGTGCTACCAACAGAATCGGGCCTTGCTCTGGAATTGGCTCCGACCTGTTCCTGGATGCGGCCCGGAGACGTTTTCGCTAAGCAGCCGACGACACATCATCTCTTTGATCTTCCACTTAAGGTTCATGGATGTACCTCTAAAGACGCGGATAGCTTCGCAAAGGATGTTGAGCTGCAGCTCGCTGTACCACGGCAGCTGAGGTGCTCCAGGTATTGACATATTTATTTGGGGCAATGTGCAAAGTCTGCAAAGATTTTCTGGAGAAAATCCGGGTTTTAGGCGATGTTGATGTGTTGGAGTAATTACTGTACTGTACAGCGGCTTGTAGCCGATCTGTTAAGGCACAGCGTCCGCAATCAAGTTGTGACTGCTGCAGGGACACAGTCCCGTGTATCACATGAGGGTGATGTGTAGCCGGGAAGTCCATCGGTGCCAAACTTGGGAGAAAAGATGTGCGCATGCCAACTTGTTGCTGTCGGAATGCGGAATTCGGAATTCGGGATTTTGGTTCTGGTTTAGGTTCTGGAAGTCTGGAAGTGACTCAACTGGCAGAAATCCACCGCAGTACCAGTACCATCCAGATGTCCCACGGCGCTCTGCAAACTCCTCATTCCATTACTTTTCCTTAGTTTTTCTCTTTCAACCTTCTCTGAGCGATGGGAAATCGCTAGCCGCTAGCAAGACTGTCCTGGCCAAGCCGTACGCCTTTGGACCTTTTGATTAAACTTTGATTCGTTTTGCACGTGTTCTTAGCACCGGACGGGGAAGGGAGAAACCGCAACGTGAATGAGAGCAACCGCTTCGGAAACAGCCATCACCTTCTCCCATCGTGCCAGCCAACGGACACATTGTGGTGGAACTGCGTGGCTTCTATGTGGCCCACGCCACAGCGTTTGTACTGGAGGCGGATGGTCGCTTTCAGCAACCGTGTGAGGGAATGCGCTGCCTGCGAAGAACATGTAAAACATGCACAAGACTTGATTGTTTGTGAGAAGAAATTGTTTTTCCAAGTTTATCCAGGATTCAGAGTCGCATTGAATGGTTCCAATGTCCTTTGAAGTTTCAATCCTTTGCTTAGCCTGCTTAGCTGCCTGCAGGTGCTCCATGTTTTGCTTCTTCGCTTTGACATCATCCAGGGACGTGTCAAGTGCCCTGGCCTGGAATCAACGTCCATGATTGACAAATCATAAAAGGAGTGAGAACACTTGCGAAAGATTGTGAAATTACAATCAAAAGCTGGTTGAAGTTCACATGACAGGTCTACTGATCGAACTCCTGCTTGGTTCCTTTGGCTGGGTCCCGCAGCCGTACTCTTTGCAACCGTTGGCTTGGGATCCCAGCAATCGGTAGAATTTTTGCGCATGCCAAAACTGATATTTGGATATCCCTGTGCCCCTGATTCTTGCTGCAAGACTCTGAGGTATGTCCTTGGACTTTCACGTTCACTTCAGCTTCGTTGTCGTGATCTTTACATGGACTGTATCCGAATGTCCAAACGTCTCAACCATCCTGAAGCAAGCCTGGGGCATCAGCTTGAAAGTATTTGCGCAACACTGAGTTGCAGAACAAACCTGATGCACCGATATACTTTCTTTGTTGCTGCAGTGGCAATCGATTGCTGTAGGTTTTGCTTGCAGCGATCGCATTTCGAAGACCATCTTAATGTACTAGTAGTAACAAGTGCATCGCTACTAGGAGCAAGGACGCTACTAGGGGCTCCTGGCCGTACTACTAGGAGCAAGTAGCTACTAGTAACAAAAAGCTATTAGGAAAGAATACACATTCATCCTGGAGTCGCCGTCCTGATGACCCACTCCAGGATTTGCATCTTCGCGGCCTACATTTGCCAGTGGCTCGCACACCCTTTTTTTACGTGGGGAAACCGCACGTGCTTCATATAAAACTGCAGACACGATTTTTTCTTCGATCGGAGGCCGTTGGTATACTTGAGTTCAAGTGCAAGGTTGGCTTCTTGAATTGCTTTCCCCAAGGTTCTGCTACCAGCTTCGCATCCTTGAAGTGATTTTGCCGGATGACATCCGCAATCCTCTGAAGTGCCCCAACAGCAGGTTCAGTCTCTTTCTCGCTATCAAATGGCTTAATCTGCTCGAGAGCGCCTCTTCAAGAACAGGCAATACTACTTCCCACATGCCCTCTACCCTGTGGCTCAAAACCTTAAAGTGCTGCTAGGATGGAAGAGTCGATTGGTGATGCTTGGTGGCCTTCCGCGTGGCGCTGCCCCTCTGCTTTTGCGTGCGCCCTGCATTGGGCGGTTTGATTGAATCGAAAGCACCCAATAGCAATGGCCTCCACCCTAGTAGCGATGGCCTCCAGCCTAATTGATGGGCACTGTTGCGGCCTCGACAATGTGACACATCAGGTGAGGATGAACAGAACACAGAAGCTGTGTTGAACGAGACGCGTTTTGGTCGCAAAAAAGTGTTTGCTTGTCAGGCACGTGCTGTATTTTGTGGCGCCCCCTGCCCGGCTGCAGCCGGGTCAGTTCGACTTGATGCGCGAGGCAGGCTTCGATTGATTTGTCAGTGATCTTTGTCAGCTGTTGTGAAGAATTGGGCGAACGAGGTGAAGGAAGGGCCACAGGGCAACGCCTTCGAGACAGCGGGTGTCCCTCTGATGGAGACCAAACCTGCGGACACGAGCGGGGAGACCTATGAGCCTGGAGAGGCTTTCATAGTAAGCAGAACGATATTGTCTAAACCGGCAGGGATGTGATTATGGGGGTTGTTCATTTGCGTGTGTACCCTGGATGAAACCTAGGTACGCTGTGCAGTATGATCAACCGCCATATGTTAGTGCTCATTTTTGGTGCACAAGGAACAGCAAGCAATAAACGAAAAGCAACAGCAAAGCACAGGAGGGACAGAGCCATCTCTACATTCTTCGCACTCAGGCGAAGCAAACCCAGGCATGTCAGCAGAGGAAATTGCTATGCAGGCCAGCCCTTAGCACTCGCATTCAAAGACTACTCATACTTGATGGTCTTTAGTCTGAGGGTGAGAGCGCGCGAGGGCAACATACTGGGCCACTAAAACGGCACTGTCAAAGCATCATGTTCAGCGCCTTGAGATTATTGGCCAGACTTGAACATTGCCTCCAATGCACCTTGCTTGATTATGCACAGGTGCAATACTTGGACCGTCTTTTTGACTACTTCCAGCTGGGGCCTAAGATCAGAGGAGTTTTGAATGGTCAGAGGAGTGATGTGAGAATGTGGAGGGATTTGGACATGCTGATTGATATTCCTTTCGAGCCTTTTTGCAAGTCTGGGGCACACTTGCCATTTGTGCACATTACAATATCAAAGCTGCTCAATTAGCTTTGCTTCTATGGCCACAGCATTCTACACTTTCAGGTAGCAAATCCATTAGCAAACAAGAAAGGACTTGGCGAGGACACTTCAATCGAGCCAGGTTTTTGGTTGAGGAGAAAACCAGGTGCACAGTGCACACCTTGCTTTCGGAAAGCATCGATTTGATATTGGAGAAACTGTTGCAGGTCAGATCAGGTCGACGCAACTCTGTCTGAGACCAACAAGGAGCGTGTGAAGGCGCACACCGTCACAGTCAAGCGACATCTCCCTCAAGAGGTGTACCATGGAGAGGTGTACCGCTTGGCCAAGTTTTAAGCTTCGTTAGCCAATCTCAAGTCACCATATCGCTTTTTGAAACTGCATTGCTGATCGCAATCAGACTTTGTGCGCAGAATGTCTCCAACCAGATGATGATCCATTGCCACCGGCATTTCAATTTATGTTCCTTCTGATCACGAAAGGTAGCTTGAGCTGCCTGAGTTCTCCTTGCTTTAGCAAAAATGTATTACAATCAGGAGTTGGGATTGTGCATTGAGTTTGGTCCTGCAAGAGTTGATTCTGTTCGTCGGGGGGGGGGGCCCCCCTGGATCAAATCCCCCCTCCGCCGGTTCACGCCGTCATGGACTTTTACCAGGGTTGCTTGTGATTGCCTGCTACCTTTCATTCACCCCCTCCTCTCTCAAGTCACTCAAAACGTGGCTTTTGTTTGGCTGACAAGAACCTGTGCAGGAACTTTACGGCGAGTTTGCAAATGCCCGACGCAAGGGCAGCGGTCCTGAGGCCACTCTGGTTGGCAACAGCAAACAAAGGCAAAACAAAGGAATGGCGGGCAAAATAGACTCAGGTGACCTCAATGTATTTTGTCAACGTTTCTTATTTTTTTGCATTTTAGGGCAATGTCGTGATCATGTCGGGTCTGTGAACCTTGGCAGGCCATGCGGGTGTTCCAGGACAGCCTGATGGCACTGGAAGGTATCATGGCGGCTGAGGGCATGCGCCACGAGGGAGGTGCAGTGGGTGGAGGGTTCGCATAGTTGTGCACAGTCTTTCACTTTACCAGTGCCAACTTCAGGCTATGTTTCAAGATGTTCCACGCCTGTAGAAAGTAGACAATCTCAAGACCCATGAGCTTGTGCAAAATGCAGAACCCAGCACTACGGATGCCGGCTACACTTCTGCAAGCACACAGCTCAGCAGTGTTTGGGCGGAGGGGAACAGGATGGATGGTGCTACGTGCACACCAAAAAACGCGCTTCATTATATATTGGGGTGGAATTGACCTTCCAGCTGCAGCTACAAATGGTGTACTGCCACCTAGGCCAAGCCAGTTCTGGCAGTTCCGGCAGTGATGGTGAGGAAGGAAAAGGCCTGTGGCCTGTCATGCAAGCACCTGTTTGATGATTCAATGAGCTTTTGGTCATGCTGCCCCCTATTGGAATCCGTTAGGAAGCCGGATAGAGAGTGCCAAACATTCATATTGATCAAGTACACAATTATGCAAAGCAGAATTGTTTGTCTTCTTGTATGCAAATGGGTTAGTTACAGTTACAGGTTAAAACATGTTAAAACTTAAGACATAGCTTTTTCTTGCGGGTGAGGTGCACTGGATCCGAAATCGTCCTCAGAAATGAAACATCCAATTGCCTGAAAGGCCTAGAGGTTGCTCCTGTCAGGTGAATACTCCTGGGATGGCCGACGCTTGTGGAAGACTGAAACTGCTGCAGCTTGGCAGCGCTTCTGAGAAAGAATTTCTCAGCGAGCAAAGTCGTATGACAAAGTTCAGGACCTTAAGAGTCGAGCTTCATCTTCTTTGTGGGCTCGACATGTGACCTGGAGAGACCCATTTGAAGCCGTCCCTGGAAAGTCTGGACATGACTTTTGTCCTGCTTAGACTTTGGAGGTGCAAACTGGACATGCTTTGGGTGCGCAAAGTGCACAAAATTGTGCAGAGTCGCACATATGAAAAACAAGAAGCAACATACGATCATATGTGTATGTACATATGTATATATGAACACATGATGGTGTAGCATTTGCTGCGTAGTGCCTGTCTGAAAGCATTCGGTCAAGGTTCGCCTCTTCTCAAAGAAAGGCAACTTGGAGCCTTGGCAGTTGGCCAGGAAGCCCGGCAGACCATGAGAATTCGGTAGGCCGACTTGTCGCAGGTTCGGCAAAAGGAGATTTTGCAAAACCGTTCTTCTGCTATTTCGCAAAGTTTTTCTTTGGTTCAACATGTTTGACGCAGTGTAGGCAATGGTAGGCATTTGGAACAATACATTCAGCGTACTCTGAGATCAACATCGTGCAACTTGTGATTTGCTTTACTTGGTTCTTCCTGATCCTTTGCATGGTCGTGGCTTGGGCAGCAATCAAGCTGTGTGGTCAACAGAAGGAATTGACGAGGTGTTGCCGCGTTGCCAGGTAACTTTCAAAAAGAGTTGTGACATCCACATTGCAAATTTATATCGCAGTATGCGCAGCTTAGCAATGAAATGAAGAGATGAAGGAAGAGTTCTTTCGCACCTTGCATCTCAGTTGGACGTCTTCATCGGAGACCAGGGCCTTGTCACAGCTCCCCACTGGTCGCGTCCTCCGATGTCACGACTCTCATTTGAGCCTCACGAGCTCGGAACTCCCTTGGGCTTCCCATGGTATGCAGGCGCTTAAGTTGGCCACTTCTACAGCACAGCAAAGTTGAGTAGCAGAGAGTGGTAATGAAAACTGAATGAACGCAGAAGGCGGTAGAAGATGGTAGGGCGGTGGCGTAGCGACGTAGCGTGGCGGTGGCTGCGGTACCCTGTGGTACTTGGCTGCTAAGATTTCGGGGATGCTCCAGTGTGCCCGGCACCATACAGGCGCAAAGCCATGGCTGCCAGAGCAGATGGCCTGGCACGAGGAGAAGACATGAAATCAATGAAAGATGAGAAGTGTTGTGTTATTGAGTGACATATGACATATGAAGTGATAGTGCACAGCGGAACTATGAAAATTCACAATGCATCGATGCATCCACCGATTTGTATGATGCTGCATGATTGCTCTTGAACATGAGGCGCTGGAAATACATTTTCATCATGACCATGACTTGCTAGGAGAAGCGCGAGGCCAGCAGCGGCTTCATCAGTCCTCCACATTCAGGTTGCGGGTATAGAGACGCCTCATATTCTGCAAAAACATATGATTTTCACTTACAGATGAGTTCTTTGTATCGTTTTCTTCTCGCTTACATGCCTGTGCCTTTCCCAGGAGATCACGAGGGTGGTGGTGGACACTCCGGCTTGCACTTCAGTCGTGAGGGTGTCCGACGGCTCTCAGGCGCTTTGATGGGTGCCTCTCAAATTAGGAACCTTTTGAGGGTGTAGGTTTATACTTTATACAGGTTTCTGTACATTTGTTCCCACAAGTTGGGAGTTGGAGATTCCAAACATTTGGCAAATTTGGATGTGAACATGTGAACCCAGTGATGCCCTACACCAAGTTGCAGCGATCCAGGTGTCGCATCTCCTGCTCGCTTGGCCCTGCAAGACCTGCTTGACTTCATGCCAGGCTGGATCTATGGAATCCTCCCATCTCCAAAAGATTGGACTGAATTCCCACAGCCACAGTGTGTGCTCCTACGTCAATCATAAGAACACCAAACAGCAAAGCATTGGATCCGGTCCTTGTCAGCCTGGATTTGCTTGAATCTGCCAGAGGTTCGCAGCCAGCAATGGAGACACCGAAGCCCATCAGCTGGCCAAGCTTTTTCGAACCACGAGTGCTTGCCTGTGGTCCTCGAGGTATTGTGGGAGCCCAAGACAGCGACTGATTCAAAGAGGTGAGGCAGACTTGTTCCAACTATTTTTGTGATATGATGTGTCTTCATTGATTTGCCAACACGCTTTGCCTTACTTTGATTGCTGTTTCTCCAGCCTGTAAGATGTAATGTCAGAAAGACATGCACACCCACCAAAATCATCCACGCCCTTTGGCAAATCATTTGTGGCGCTCAGGGAACAATACGAACTGCATGAGCACAAGTATTGTCATAGAGTCGTAGAGGATCGTAGAGGAATCTCGTGTCATGTTTTGAGGAATCTCGACTGGTCGAGATGTAGACTTCGACCTAAGGCCACCTTGACTCCACGTGGCGTCGGAGCATTGATTCACCAAAACAATGCTCAGCGCTTTCACCTGGCAGGGCCTGGAGACTTAGGATAGTTTTGGATAGCCTTAATGATTTGCAAAAGTACTTGAATCAATTAGCCCGAATGCCCTTGCCCCTCTGAAATCTTGCTGAAATGTATGACAGCAGAAATCGGCAGGCTTTAGGCTCCCAAGGAGGATCAAGCAGGTTTCTGGAAGGTAGACAAAACCTGTGATTTCGGCAGTTGCAGTTCCGAAGCCCAAATCAGGCTCACTCATTTGCCGCCGCTGCTTTCTGCGGCCTTCCATCCTCATGCAAAGGACACTGTTACTCTACTAAGTCAAGTGGACTTGTGAAGAACAGTTTCTCTCTAGTCACTACTCTGCGTGCTGGAGCTTGGGAAACAGTCTTCCTTCACCGTTCTTCCTTTTGAATAATGCAGCATAGTCTGTCCACTTGGGTAGGGTTGCAAAGGAAGTGTTGAAGTGATCAAGTGCGGCGGAAGTCTATCCAAGAAGTTCATTGTTTTTTAAGGTTCTGACGAGTGGTTTGAGTGGTCACAGAGGGTTCTACCTCCCATGTTTGGTCTTGCAGGATTTGATCACTGTGCCAGGAGCTCATGGTAATCACACGCCAAGGTCATATGGCCTCATGCCCAGAGCCTTTCGGAGCGCCTTGGCTGAGACGAGTTCTTTTAGTCGGGGGGGGTTAGGCCGTAAGTACTGGTACCTGCTACCCCCGCTTGAGGGCGGGGAGTAGCTTTCTTGGGTTCCTAGACTTTTTGGCCCAAGTCAATGCTCAAAGGAACATTATCAAGGAGTAGACAAGTGATGACTTGCTAGACTTCTAAACCAACAGACCCACCTTAAAAGAGACAACACGTTTTAAAATGTTTTGAAGTGCAAAGGAGGAATTCAGATGGATGCAGTGATAGCAGCATGCACATGCAGCGCCATGCAAGAATCAGGAGGGTAGGGCCACTAAGCTCTTTAGCTCTCTTCAGCTTCACCTCACATTGGACTCCAAAAGTCTTCCCAAGACTGCTGGTCTTGAGGTGTCTCACTGTGCGGCCCATCAGGGTTTGCCAGTGCCACCGGGCACACGCCTGGTGGCAGCAGCTGCAGGTTGGCTGCGTTGGAAGCCCGGATGGTCTGGCCAGTTCTTCTAATTTTGATCATGCAATGGTTCTAATCGGTTTCGATTTGATTGACGATCCACTAACAGTTGACCGCTTCTGGCGAAGATTCTTACAGCCAAGCAGAGACTCCCAGGCCCTCATGAGTCAGCCGAAGCACATCTTCATGTGGCCTTCATCGATGAGGACAGTGCTTTATGTTGCAGAAACCCTGACACTTGTGCCCTGGGTGGCCTTCACTCTAAGAGGATGTTTTGTGTCGGAGAAGACTAAAACAAGTGAAACAAGCTTCGACCTGAAGGCCATGCCCGAGATGGTGGCGATCTTTAAACACAAGAAGGCAACTGGATTCTTTGGCATGCTTGTTATTGGACATCAGACGGTCACTCCAAAATGGGTTCAACAAGGATGTTTGAGGAGAAGACCCTTTCGGAATCTGGGTGGTTCTTTGGGAGCAGAGGGCACTTGGTGCTCTGGATTCGATGGCTTTTTTGAGTTACTTAGTTACTTGTTAACTAAGTTCGTCTGAACTCCAGTAGATCCCTCAAAAGGGCCACTACAAGCAGTGTGCTTTTGTATGTACTACCCAGGTTACTTCAAAGCTTGGCTTGGGCGGATTGAGAAGCAGGGTTGGAAGCGAATCAGCTACCCGTCTCAACCTTTGATCAGTCGTGCCAATCGCACGTAGAACCAAGCCTGAAGGTGTTCAGGGATGCGGACAGACTGGCAGGACTGACAGACGCAGGACTTGCTCTCTTTCCCTCCCTAGGCTTCTCAGAAATTCTATGAACTTCTAAGCATTCTGCCTGAACGGATTGGGTTACTGGACCGAAGGTCAGTCCGGGTGAGAAGACTTGATCTTGTCATATACTTGTTCATCGTGGGCATTCCTTGCACCACTTTGTGCCTCACTGACCGTTTAATTCGTAGTCTCCACAGGCGGAGGGCGTCTGGCATCCTCTGGGTGAGTTGCCAGTGCCAGAAGAGGTGCACGAAGGAAACCCCAAGGTTCGCCGAAGCGAATCGACGGCGAAGCCAGGATGTTTGTGTTGGTTGGATGCTCCTTCTTCTATATGAACACCTGTTGTGCCCGTGGGTACTATCGTGAATGTTCGTCTAGCACAACCAAAATGTGGCCATTTTGGCTGGAAGCCCACCAGCCATCCTCCTCGTTGTTTACAGCGGGGGGAGAATGGCTGGGTGGGAGAGAGGTCGTGGCCATCAGATGAAGAGGTCAGAGGCAGCGTTGTCGCCTCGGCCCGGCAGCGCAAAGCTGGGTAAGACCTCTGGTCTGATGGCCATCGGCGCGTGGGCGGCCCGCGTAGAAATCGCAAAGATGATCGAGGCAGGAGTTCCTGCCAAAGAGATTCTGAGCGAGATCCGAAAGGGAGAAGAGGGAGACTTTCCCCTCCCCCCTTTTGAGCAGACGGTCACCCACTCTGGCTCTTCGACTCCTGGGAGTAGTGCCACCCCGCGCCCAGGAAGAGATACGGGGGTGAGTTCTACGACATCCAGATCCGAACCACCCCGGGGAGTTCCTTGGGAGAAACCGCGACATGGGAGCCCCGTGTCAGTATCCCCGACTTCAGCTGCGGGAGGTCACTCTTCAGGTCTGCCCGAGTGGGCAAAGAAAGGAGATGGACCCCGTATGACGTTCCGCAAGCAGGCAGTTGCACCAGCTGAGGCAAATTTGTCAGACTGGGCAAAACCTGAGGCGAAAGAAGCTGACAAGAAGAGTGAGAGGGCCGCAGAGTCGGAGTTCGAGTACACCCCCACGGAACCCATAGCGGAATTGGTTGAGAGTGGCATCTTCAAGAACTTCAAGAAGAAGGCGGAGCCTCCCGAACGTGAATGGGAGCTTGTCGATCAGGCCCGTGGTTACGTTCCGATTAAGTTGCCCTCACGGTCGAACCCCCTGGAGACAGAGAAGTTGGAGACCTTCCGTTCTTTGTCCAAGGCGCTTTTTGAAGAGTTGGTTGTCTTGAAGATAAAGATGGACCTGGTAGAGACTGTGGTAGAAGGTGGGGAGTTGTTGGAAGATAGATTCCACATCCTCACCGAGCCACGGTCGGCCGGAACAGGTCTTCGGTATGCAAGGCTTCTCAAGCGCTATGTTGACGCATACCAGGAGCATGGCGACCCCGAGAAGGCACCCCAGGACCTCTTCAGCGAGGGCTTCATGCAAAAATTCATCCTCCAGCTCATTTCGGATGGATCAGGTTTCCGCACCCCGCAGAGCCTCGTGTATGCGATTGAGCACTTCGGTGGCGTCTTCGGTTTCGAGACACCGGGACCGAGGCACGCTAGAATCCGAAAGATGGCGAACGACTACTCAGCAAAGGCGCCTGAACGAAACCCAGCTCCCCTTTTTGAAGTGGGCATGCTGGAGTACCTTGAGGGTGTAGTTTTGGACTCCGGGCGAGATCTCCAAACTAGGGTTGCCTGTGGGAAGCTGAGAGTCTGCATTCAGGCGAGTGTTCGACACAGCGACCTAGGTGGCACTTCTATGAGCGCGGTTGAGTGGTGTCGGCCTGTTGGACGCACAGAGATTTTGGGGTTGAGGGCAAAGGCCGCCTACACCAAAAGCGGTCCCAGACCTTGGGCTGCCGCGTGGGTGGCGGTCTCTGCTAGCAACGATCAGTGGCTTTTTGTGTGGGTTGATCTTCTGATAAAAATGCACAACTTGGCTAGCGGCTTCCAAGGTGATGAGGGTTGGAAGAAACACGACTTCGTTGGCTGCGCGTCGGACAACATGGGAGGCTTTCGTACATGTCCTCCCCTGATCACAGAGGATACGCTTGTTGTCAGGAAGTGCTTGATGGACGACCTTGAACAAGGCAGGGACGTCCCGCTTGACGAGGCCGCGATTAGGAAGCTGAGGTGGCATTCATGCAAGAACACAATCCCCTCATGGTCCACTTTGGAATCACTCCACGTACAGTGAGGTATCAAGGAGCCTGGAAGAAGGCTTCACAGGCTATGAGCGATTTGTACCTGCGAGAGTCGCAGAGTATTGTCCTGAAGGCGCAGTGGCGCGTGATGGATCAGATTCGACGAGGCGCAGCTGTTCAATCGCTGACCGGCGTAACGCTGGATCATAGACCACTGAAGCCAGACTGGGGCACCGTCAACGATTACCTCCTATCCGGGAAAGTTCCCGAGTTCCAAGGAGGAGAGCCTTTCTTAGGAGCCATGGAGCGTGCCGTGATCTGCACCGAGAACCCAGACACTGGGAATCCGGAATTGCAGCTCCAGCGTGCGCCGGCGACTTTGGATGTGCGAGCTGAACTTCGTGGAGTAGGAGAAGGAGACGAGGAAGGTCTGCAAAGCGTGGTGAGCCAAGAGGCAGAGCTTGTCAAAGAGGGAGCGCAGGAGTTCTCAGATGCCGCACTCTCGGACCTCAGCTCCCCGAGCTCAGGTGACGATTCTGACGACTCATACATCGACCCGGAGCAAGGTGACATTGACTTTTGCCCACACTTTATCCAGCTCTCCACTGGGTACGGAAGGATCCACAAACCCGGAGAAGGCTTGCTGGCGGAGAAACCGGCTTGCAACGCAGTTGGAAAGCGCTTCACCAGGCTCGTCCTCGATGAGGATTGGGGGACTGGGTATGACCTTTGTGAGCGCTGCTTCGGAATGGTCCAAGGATGCAAGCTGCTGTGCGACTACAGAACGCAGCGGAAGGGCTTCATGATCCGCTGCTCGCGCCGCTGCTGCCCTGAGGCCGTGCCAGGCCACGTGAGCCCAGAGGATCCAGGTTTCGAGCTGAAACTGGGCGGGCACAGGTGCATGTTCCATGGGATACCTGCTTAGAAAGGCCATAAGCCTGAGCAGGATAGAGAACCATGGCTGCTGAGACGGGAGGAAACTCTCCCTACCTTTACACCGTAGTGCAAAAAATTAAAGCGCCGGTTGATTTTTATTGAGCCATGCAGCCATGCGGTCCCGGTTTGCATGTTTACTCTATCCTTCGGGGTTACAAGTTCACATGAGAAAACTGGAGGTTCCACGGGGGAAACCATATCCTTTCGTTTGGATGTGATTGAAGGTGCGGCTAGATGAAGACGTCCGTACGAGTTGTCCCCTGTGAGTTTTCTGCGGCCCGAGTGGGACTTACACCCAGTCGCCCCGAGTGGGAGTCCTAATTCTAAGTAGCCATGGCCGATGCGAAGTCCACCATCGCGTTCGGAAGGGCAGCAGCTTCGTTCGATGTCCATG